TTTTGAAAAACGACACTAGTTTCTGGCTGCCAGAATCGCTTTTGAAAAACGACACTACTGATAACGATGCTGTTTTGCGGCCCTAGACAACAGTACCGCTCTATCTATGGGCCATACACAGTGATCGGGTGAAAGTACGTGTATACCTTTGGTCGCAATTACCGACACTCACACAATCATACATTATGGTAACTCTAAATAGATCGTCGGTAGAAGGCCTAGCGACGAACAGACAACTTCCGGTCAAAATTGACAGAATTCCATGAAATTCGAACTTTTGGAAGTTCTGAGCACCTCCATTTCATGAATTTCGGCCAGAACGATCTTTTCCCAAATATAATTATTTTCTACTGTTCGAAATTCATGGCACATTACCGTATTTCTAGAAAAAAATACAATTTTTTATTTTTTATTTAGCAAAAAATCTTAATCAATATTTTGTATTTTCCCTTTATTAAATAAGTAACTTTAAACACCCATAGAAAGCTTTTTAATGAAACAACATAAATTTGACTTGATTTACACACACACTTATTATATACAGAGGCTATATGTATCTCCATGTATTCTGACCACTGTGTCTGTCTGTGTTGTCACTATCATAGTTACTTTTATATTAGTGTTTATTTGCTTTTTTTCATTGGCTTATAACATTTTGTAATTTCTTTGGATGCAGTTGTTCCATGTGTTGCTGTCCAACACATTTCTAAACATTTTTTTTTACCCTTTAGCTGCTAAACCATATTTTTTTTACTTCAATTTTGCTGAGTAGCTTTGTTTGGTAAAAACACAAATTCATTAAAAAAAATCTGCATAAGTTAATTATGTTTTTTTTTCATTGCAATTATTGTTGCAGTATTTTTTTCTATTTGGTGTCTGTATATTTGCAAGCTTTGTTGTTTAGTTAATAAAAGCAATTTTATGTTTATATCCTTTAAGTCTATGATAGGAAAAAAATCTCTCAAATGTTCTTAAGGCAATTAAGTAGTGTGAGGTATACATAGAGAATCAGTAAACAACGTCACCAAGGGACAGAGTATAGGAGTCTTAAAACTGAATCTTCTTCTAATCAGAATCACCTGTCTAGTTTTCAGTGAACTGTGAAATCCCTTTTTCTCCCAGGTACCTCCCACACTAACAAACAATCTGTGAGGAAGCCATTTGACTATCTGTTTATTTATTTACCTGTAAATCACTTCAATGGGAATGTATTACACTGCAGTGGCAGAGGACAAGATGTTTATCTTGAGGTGTGTTCACATT